GGAGCCAAAGCAACAAGTTCTTTTCTTAAACACACAGGTATCACTAATATTGGAGCTCCCACAGTGTCACTCTTCCTGACAGCCATAACAAGGTCACCTTTCGTTCTAAAGATGGTATAGTTCTATATATAAATCCAATACAGTGAACCACTTGGCACCTGCTGAAATTGCCACCATAACCTCCTGAAACTTCGCCATCACCGGCACCATCTGGGGAGCTACCTTGTTAAGCTCTCGATAGTCCACTGTGAGCCTCCAGGTCTTCTTGTCAGCTTTTAGCACAAGCCATATTGGTGAATTTCATGGACTAACAGGTTCCACCAATACTTCTTGTTCCAGAAGGGCATCAATGGTCTCTTTAATCCCTTCCTTAGCATTCTTGGCATATCTGTATTGCTTCTGGGGCTTCAGATCAGAACCCAGCACCACTACCTCTGCATTGATCTTATTGCACTGTAGCTTGTACTTTGCGAAAGCTTTTGGGTACCTCACCACCACTTCTGTGACCTCTTGCTCCCATGCAGGAATCACCAATTCCTCTGGAACCTTGAGTGCAGCTATTCAGTGGGAAGCAGGGACAACAAATCCTCCTGCTGATGTTTTGTCCTGAACCAATACTCTATTGGGCAAATGATACTGCATCAAGCTTCATCGCTTGTTAGTTTAGAATTCCTCTGTAATCCTACATAGATCAATCTTAATAGTAGTTATACACTCTTTTAGTTACAGTAGCTATTCATAATTGGCTGTTTTTTATTTTCATTATTAAATTTTAATCTTAGCTCATCTCTAGAGACACAGTCACACTCTGAAGAGTTGATCATAAACTCCTCTGTCCCAGACACTTAGGAGTTTATTTATTAGACTGTTCTAACCTATTACTGTTGAGTTTTGTTTTTTAAATACATAAAGTAAAAAAAATAGACCTTGATTGCGATCTATCAATCGTAATTTATGTAAGTTATCTTTACGCAAACAGTCCCAACTGTCATTGATTTCAATGAGTCTCTTTGCATAGGTAATGGCTACTCACATAAGTAAATGCCTGCAGGATTGGGCCCAGTGCTTGTCTGCTTATACATAGGGCCCTAACAAATGCACAGCCATGGAAAAACGCGACACGGACCATGAAATCCGTTTCTCAAATTGGGGATTCTGACCCAAAAGGGAGTTGCAGAGAGGTAGCAAGGTTATTTCAGGGGTCGTGGTATTGCCATCCTTACTTCTGCACTGCCTTCAGAGCTGGGCGGCTAGAGAGCGGTGGCTTTTGACTGGGCATCCAGCTATGAAGAGGGCGACCTGCCAGCTGTGAAGGCAGCAGTGCAGAAGTAAGGGTGGCAATACCATACCATGCCATCCTTACATATGCGCTGCTGCTGGCGGTGGCTCTGTCTTCAGAGCTGGGCTCCTGGCCAGCAGCCATTGTTCTCCGGCCGCCCAGATCTGAAGGCACTGCCACCATCAGCAGCAACGCAGAAGTAAGGGTAGCAGTACCGCAACCCCCCCACAACTCCTTTTTGGGTCAGGACCCCTACAATTAGAACACCATGAAATTTCAGATTAACATATCTGAAATCATGAAATTTGCAATTTTTAAAATCCTATGACCGTGAAATTGACCAAAATGGATCATGAATTTGGTAGGGCCCTACTTATACGTTTGGTGAACAGTTAACTTGCTGCTGATATACAGAAAGGTGCACAAGCCAAGAGGGAAAAATGCACCTTAAAAGAAGGCAGAACAAAAATAACTTCTTCACATGATTCACTCAAAGCCTAGGGGAAAATCTTATAGTAAGTATTTAAAATATTGTATTAGCCATACTTGAAATTGCACATGTAGGTTCCCTTAAGGATGTCTCTCTAACTGCCTTCTATTTAAGCTTTTATATAGCACCTCTCACTATGGTATCACTTTCTCTTCCCCATATCCCCACATCAGACAATTTTTGTTCCTCTAGCTTCCCACTGGCATTTCATGTTTTTAATTTTTACTGTTTCATCTGTTTCAAACTCAAATGTTCAAGCAAGGATCATAAATGAGACTCCAACAATCATGAAATTGGTTTTAAAAATTATGAGATTTTAAAAAAAGAATAAATGTGGGGTTCTTTTTCTTTTCCTTCGGTTTCTGGGCCTTTTAGGGTGCAACTTGCTTTACATTTTCACACTCTTCTCTGCCACCAAAAGGGCTAGAAAATTAATTTAAAAAAATAATGAAAGCAGAGTTTCTCATGCAATCTCTTGATTCCAAACAGGGGCTTTAGAAAAACACCAAATATCACAAGACTAGCAATAAAATTGCAAGAGTTGGCAACATGGAGACAATATTCCTTGTTCAGTGTTTCTTTTTTTTACATATTTTGAGATGTTTTATATTCTCTGTGCCCCTTCTAATTTGAGGCTGACTCATGATATCTAGCCTGAACCTAAAAATGGGTCAAGAGTGCAGTGTCATGGCAGAACCTCAGTCCTGCAGTCATTCTCAGGAATTTCCAGGAACTAATGCCATAGCCCTGCAGATCTCTTGTAGGTATTTATCATAAACCAGTTTTGCTGCAAATGAGTTTGAATGTTTACATATGGCTTTTAAACATGGTTCTTTGGCCATGATTAGCTGGAGGGAGGTCAGAGTCTGACATGGACACATATAACACTAGGGGTTAAAGGTTTCATTCACACTGGTAAATGTTAAATAACAGGTGCAAAAACAAAGTACAGAGTTACTGTACTTAAAAATTAACAGGTGCAGAACGAATCCTCCAGTAAAATGAAACATAATCTTCTTCATCAACTCTGAGACAGAGACACTGGACAAATGATTGATCAGTGTATTATTTTCTAAACTGCCCATCTTTAATTTCTATGATTCTGGTAAACTTTATTATACTACCTCCAAAAGAAAACAAAACAGGTCTGTGGGGGTGGGGATACATCATGCATTATGATACATTTGCACTCTTGCACAAATGCAATGAAAAACAATAAGGTCCAATTTTTAGCCAACATCTAATATTGCTACAGAATCAAGGAAATAAAAATATGATGAGAGAGCAGCTCTCTTAAATTGTTAAGGCCCAAATGTGGAACATACATCTAAAATAAAAGAGGTGAAAAATAGCACCAGAAACTAGATAAAGTGAAATTCTTTCCTTTAGGAAAAATGTCTATAAACGCAGTTTCCTGCATCTACATTTCTGATATCAATATTGTACTGTAATGAAAAAGATACCATAAAATGGATGTGGAGCAAAGACTGATTTGGATTTAAAGTAAAGGGTAACTGAGCGGTATCTGAGTTTGGCTGGAAGCCAAGTCTATGCCACAGAAAAGAGCCCGCTAGGAAATGCTTCTTAAAAATAGATTTAAATGACCATTCTAGCCAATGTCTCTTGGTTGCTGCCAGCATGGGCTGAATGATGCTAGTCTGAAACCGTTCTTCGAAATCTGCTCTCAAGACTGGAAAGTGGCAGCCAGCCAAGGACAGTTTGCAAAGCACATTTTAACCCAACTGTTCCCTGTGTGGCTCAGCTAAGCGGCCTGAGGAAGAAACACGCTCAGCCAGATTAAACCCCATGTAACTCGGTATGTCTACACTACAGCCACTACAGGAGTGCACCTATGGCCCTTCAGCTATGCCACTGTAGCGCTGTGGTGTAGATGCTTCCTACATCAACGCAAGGGGGCTTTCTGTTGCTGCACTTCGCTTCTCTGAGAGGCGGTAGCTAAGTTGACAGAAGAATCCTTCCGCACTGGGGTTGACCTGACTATGATACCAAGGGCTTGTCTACACTACCCACCACAGAGCCGTAACAAGGAATTTTTGCGCCCGAGGCAAGGGCCGCCTCCAGGCTCTTTGGCGTCAATTCTGCGGTGGGTCCCGCAGTCCCTCTCGGAGGGAAGGACCTGCCACCGAATTGCCACCGCCACTTCATTCATTCTTCTGCGTTAATTTGGCCGCGGGTCCCTCAGTCAAAAAAAGAATGATGCGGCGGCGGTAGAGCTGCCGCCAAAGCGCAGCCGATCACAACTTCCCCCTCCCCCCCGTCCCGCTTGGGCGGTAGAGCTATGCCCCTCCGCATTGCGCGCCCGAGGTAAGTGCCTCACTTGCCTCGCCCTTGTTACACACCGACCCACCAAATCGGCAGGAGGCGATCAATCCGGTGGGGGTCGATTAGATGTGATAAATCAACCACTGAATGCTCTCCCGTCAACTCCGGTACTCCACCATAACGAGAAGCGCAAGTGGAGTCGACGGGAGAGCGTCAGCTGTCGACTTACCGCAGTAAGTAGATCTAAGTACATCGACTTCAGCTACGCTATTCACGTAGCTGAAGTTGCGTATCTTAGGCCTGGTCTACACTTACCCCCCAATTCGAACTAAGGTACGCAACTTCAGCTACGTGAATAACGTAGCTGAAGTCGAAGTACCTTAGTTCGAACTTACCTCGGTCCACACACGGCAGGCAGGCTCTCCCGTCGACGCCGCAGTACTCCTCTCGTATAGCTGGAGTACCGCAGTCGACGGCGATCACTTCCTGGTTCGACTTATCGCGTCCAGACAAGACGCGATAAGTCGAACCCAGAACTTCGATTCCCAGCCGCCGAACTAGCGGCTGGGTGTAGACATACCCTTAGATTGACCCCACATGGTAGGGTAGACAAGCCCCAAGGGGTAACATTTTTCAACCCCCTGAGCAAGGTCGATCTAAGTTTCAGGTGTAGACCAGGGCTCAGCTGGGCAGTCAGAGCCTTAGGCAAAGGCTGCCGGGGAATTCGTGTGTCAGCCCCAGGGCAGAGGCTGGCTTATTTTTCATAGAGGCGGTGAGCAGGGGAGGCCAAAGGAATCACTAAAACACACAGCGACATGCTGTTCCCAGGAGCGGGACCCGCCAAGGCCCCGGCTATACCTCCGAGCCCTCACTGCGCGCCTTGCCGCCGCTCACGCCCCGCCCCGCCCCGCCGGCTCCTCCTAGCGCAGGGAGGGACGTGCCGGGGTCGCGGCCCTCAGCAGTGGCCGGAACTGGGAGGTGACTCCCGGCGCTGACGGCGCGAGCCCGGCCCGGGCTCCTGCTCCTCCCGCCATGCTGTCCGGGTGCAGGCGGGCGCTGCCGGCAGCCCTGCGCCTCGCGGTGCGGGGCTGGGCAGGGGGCGGCGGCAGGAGGCGGGTCAGCACCAGCTGGTCCCCGGTGGGAGCCGCCTTCGATGCCAAGCAGCAGCGCAGCCGGCTGACGGGCCAGAGCACGGTGAGCGGGCGGGGGCCGGGCTTAGGCCCGCCCCCTCTCGGAGGTGGCCGGGGGCCCGCGTCCTGCCCCCATCCAGAGCCCGGCGGAGGCTGTGAGGCGCGCTGCGATCGGTCGCCTCTTGGGTGCGCAGCTGCGCGCACAGCGGCCCCCGGCTCCCTGGGATGGCGCCTCTCCCCAAGCCCCTGCTGGGACCTGGGGGTGCCCAGTATGCCCAGATCTGCGTCCGTGGCACGTTGGCGCCAGGATCCGGATCTATTTCGCTTGGGGGAGGCTCCCTGCAGCGCAGCGGGAGCGGGGGCTCCCGTGGACCCCACATCTCAGCTCAGGCAGGGCGCTGCAACCCTTGGGGTCACACATTGTTATTCCAGATGAGGGTGTCCGTGGGGTGCGCTCAGTCCCTCGTGCAGGAGCCTAGGGGAGGGCTTTTTGATTAATCGATTTTTAAGGCCAGAAGGGACCATTATGATAATCAAATCTGACTTTCTGCAGTAGGTAAGGCCCACAGAATCTCCCCCAGCAAGGGTCCAGGATTGCTCCTGTGATCTTCCCCAGACAGGGAGCAGGCAGTACAGCCTGCACCCTGGGAAGCTTGAAGGGCGATCGTGCCATTAAAGTACTACACCTTTGTCCTGGACTGTATTTTAAAGGTATCATCTAGTGCTAAATTTACCAATTACTTACCACTTCACACTCACTCTCTTTTAATGGCAAGTCTGCACTTAAAATGTTGTAGTGATGCAGCTGCACCACTGTAGCACTTTAATGAAGACAGCCTATGACAACCACAAGAGAGAGCTCTGCTGTTCCTTAGGGCTAGTCTACACTATTGTGCTAGTACATCAGTGCAGCTGTACCGCGTCTGGTGAAGACAAGCTATGCTGATGGGAGAGCACTCTCCCATCGGCATATTACTCCATCTCAACAAGAGGTGGAAGCTATGTCAGCGGGAAAGCATCTCCCACCGAGATAGCGCCAGTGTGGACAGCGCTTAGGTTGATGTAACAAGCGTCGCTCAGGGGTGGCTTTTTCACACCCCTGAGCAATGTAAATTACATTGATTTAAGTGGTAGTGTAGGCAACCCTTAGTTAATCCGCCTCCCCGAGAGCCGGTAGCTATGTCTGCGGGAGAAGGCCTCCTATCAACATAGCGCTGTCTATAGCCGGGTTTAGGTTGTATAACTGTGTTGCTCGGGGTGTGGATTTTTCACACTGCTGAACAATGTAGTTATACCAATATAGGTCTGTAGTGTAGACCAGAACTAAGATAGCTGCTTGCTTTGAGGAAATATCCCTGTGTAGTGACACGTAATCTCTATTTTGAGGATTTAGGTGGTGGGGAGTGAGTGGTGTGTAGATTTTGATCTGATGTTCTGCAGGGGAGTGAGTTTCACCAATAAATTAATAAAAAAAAATTTATTGGAAATCACTAAAACAATTTATGACCCAGCTGGCAAAATTATTGAGATGATTCTGTGCCTTGTCACCAATAATTTCTGTATTGAAGCAAGGCAAGAAATATTCTCCTGTTGTATTCTCAGGTAAACCTTTTGTTCCGGGGCTCTTCCTGTTCAATTACTTTCCACCCTGTTCAGTTGCTTCCTACACAGAGAATTTGTGCCTAACTGAAGTGCAAAAGCTCTGATTACACATACAGTTTAGTCAGCCAGTTTTAAAATTTGTCCCTGAGTGTTATTTAATTTCTTTTTAAGCTGTGTGTCTGAAACATCCTCTCCTCCAAAGAGAGGAAGAAATGGTGGTAGGAGGGGATCCACTCTGGCCAAAATGTTCATACCTGAATGTCTAAAGCAGAGGTGGGCAAACTACGGCCTGCGGGACCCTCCTGCCCGGCTCCTGAGCTCCTGCCCCAGGAGGCTAGCCCCCTGCCCTTCCCCTGCTGTTCCCCCTCCCCTGCAGCCTCCGCTTGCCCTGGCGTAATGCTCTGGGCGGCGGGACTGCGAGCTCCTGGGGCAGTGCGGTAAGGGGGCAGGGAGCAGGTGGGGTTGGATAGAGGGCAGGGGAGTTCGAAGTGGTGGTCAGGAGGCGGGGGTGTGGATGGGGTCGGGGCGAGGGTGGGGAACAGGAGTGTTGAATGGGGGCAGCGGTGCGGGGGGCAGCGAGGAAGGGGGGGGTTTGATGGGGCGGCGGGAGGTGCGGGGGCTGTCAGGGGACAGGGAACAGGGGGGGTTGGTGGGGCAGGAGTCCCGGGGGGGCTGTCAGGGGGCGAGAAGCAGGAGGGGTCAGATGGGGGCGGGCCTGGGCCACGCCTGGCTGTTTGGGGAGGCCAAACCGGATGCGGCCCTCAGGCCAAAAAGTTTGCCTGCCCCTGGTCTAAAGTGAGGGTCCTAAATCCATATTAGGTGCTCAACCCTTTGAAAATCAGGCTGCTTCTACTTACATGCTTAAATATGGATTCAGGAACATAACTTTTATGAACCCAGTTATGAAAATTTTGGTCTTGTGTACTGGAACAGTCTTTAGGATCTACACCAGTGGTGGACAACCTGCGGCCCTCGGGCCGTGTGCAGCCCATCACAGTAATCCGCTGGCGGGTCGCCAGACAGTTTGTTTACATTTGCACGGCCGCCTGCAGCTCCTTGTGGCCGCAATTCACTATTTCCCGCCAATGGGAGCTGTGGGAAGCGGTGTGGCCGCTGATCTTACACAGTAAGAATTATTTTTCCTAATTTATATTGCAGTTCAATGCAAGAAAAAGCAATCAGTTTTTCTGAATTAAAACTGTTCTGTGATCATATCATAATTCAGATAGGAACATTTCAAACTGAAGGTTTGTGAAGATTATTCTGAAATGACTGTGATATTGTGGAGTTGAAACAAAGTAGTTTTGTCTGCTGTCTTACTCTTTTGGGTCCAAGGTTTTTTTTTTTCTTTTTAAACTGATATATTGACTACCACAAGCAAATGTTTATCTGTGGAGTGTTGCCACCAGGCCTGTTGATTTTCTTCTTTTTGATGAGTCATTCATTATTTTTTTTTTTAGTGAAAGTCCTGTGGTAGATTTCCAGGAATGAGATATAATTCAGAACTACCTGGAATTAAGAAACTGGCAGACCAGATACTAGTAACATTGTTTTTCGTTATTTTTGTATTACTTACTTGTTTCCAGTAGTGCCCACGATGTTCTACCCACTGTACCAATGCTAAAGGGTTCCTGCCCTGAAGTTCCAAGTCAGGCAGTTGAAGCTGCTGAGATCAGACGTAAAATTTTCAAAAATGCCTAAGTAACCTAAGAGCCTAAATCCCATTTTCAGAATGATTAGGTGCTTTCAAGGAAGCTTAGGCTCCTGAGGCCCAGAACCGCAAGGGTTTTTAGTATCTAGGAGGATTTGGGCCTAAGTGCCTAAAATAGGACTCTTTAGTCACTTAGACAGTTTTGAAAATTTTATCTCAGGTCTGTAACATAAACCTCATGATACGAGTGCTATATTTCCAGGCCACTAACAGTTTGCTTTAAAGCATAAAAGTAGCTCTTCCAAAATCTGTGGCACCCAAATCCCTAAAAAACAAAAGTAATTTGAAATTCTTTTATATCAAACACCCATTTCTGAACATTACAGGACAAAGTAACTTTCTTGACAGTTATCGCAAAAATAATTTGTTTGCTGATTAATGGAAATGTCCAAGTTTTAGCAAGGGTTTCTATAGTAGACAGAATTATATTGTAAATAAACAAAATGTTTTATTCTGATTTTTGTCAGTTTGGTGTATATCTGAAACTGAGAGATTAAAAATGAGAGAGTTTATTTATTCCAGCGTATTTGCACTGTATGTTGAATCTGTACTTGGTATTTTAGGGTCTATTTGGTGTTCCAGAATTGAGTTCTCCAGAAGGATTTCAAGAAGCACAAGAAAAAGCATTACAAGAAACAGAACAGCTAGTCCAGAAAGCATGTACTACACCTCCTGGGCCACAGATAGTAATGATCTTTGATCAGCTTTCAGATGCATTGTGCAGAGTAGCAGACTTGGTAAGATTTATTGTTAAGTTTGATATGCTCATGTAAATTTACTTTTTATTTGGATCTTTCTAGCTTAGCTCAGACTTTTGTTTTGTAAACTCTTCTGCTATAAAAGATACTGTATCAGCATTGCGACTTCCTATATCAGGATAGAAAATTAAAAAGACCCTCCTTAGTGGAAAATCGTAATCAGTTACAAAGTCTTTCATTAAATTATAGGTAGTTTCAGAAGTTATATCTGATGTGATTTGTAACTGTACAGTGAACTTTAAGTGAGATTTAAAAATAATATATCAATGACAAGAAAAATAACAGTAAAATCAGATCAGTATTTTATTAACATTCTTGCCTTTTGCAAGACTTACAGTTACGAAGTGTGTACATCTGGGAATCAGACCACTCTGAAATATAAAGACAACTCTAGGCTATAGCATAGATGGCCTTTTCATTGTGTCAACAACACTCAGTTTATAGCCAGGAAATGATGAATCTCTTAGGGTATGCCTACACAAGAAACGCTAAAGCTGTGCCACTGTAGCGTAAATACCATTAGAGCGATGGAAGAATCCCTTCCATCACTCTAGTAGTATTTATGCTACAGTGGCACAATAAATAAGTAATAAATCCACCTCTCCAAGAGGAGGTAGCTAGGTCAATGGACAAATTCTTCTGTCAGCCTAATGGTGTCTACATCAGAGCTTAGGTCAGCTTAACTACATTGCACAGGGGGTGAAATTTTTCACAGTCTTGAGCAGCGTAGTTAAGCTGACCTAACTCTGTAGTGTAGACCTAACTTTATCCAACTAAATCAATTTAGATAGTGTCATCCCCTTAACAAAATAATGTAATCACATTTATTATGTGTAGATAGCTGTCACTCTTGTGAAAAGATTCATGGGATCGTTAATTCCGGAAACAGTCGGGATCTCTGTTTTATATTTCATACAAAGAACAGCACCTGCAGTAAGAACATAAGAACAGCCATACTGGGTCAGACCAAAGGTCCATCTAGCCCAGTATCCTGTCTTCTGACTATGGCCAATGCCAGGTGCCCCAGAGGCAATGAATGGAACAGATAATCATCAGGTGATCCATCCCCTGTCACCCATTCCCAGCTTCTGGCAAACAGAGGCTAGGGACACCATCCCTGCCCATCTTGACTAATAGCCATTGATGGGCCTATCTTCCATGAACTTATCTAGTAACATGATGCTGGAAAGGTTCAGTTCTGGCTTAGAGGGAAGATTGCTAGATATTGTAACATTAACACCGCTTCCTGTAGATGCCTGGGTTTTTGTTAGAGGTCTGCCATCCTATTACTTATTAAGCCTGACACTGCTTATGTCATGAGATCTTATAAGATTGCATCCTCACTTGTTATGGCTACAAGCAATGTATTGTTTAACACAAAATCCAAGTTCAAATAATATTAATGATCTGTTTTAAACCTAATAAAACATGGAGAGTTGAGGATCTGAAGCTCTTTTTAATTCACCATGTTGTGATTCAATACGTAAACTTACTGATGTGTAAAAATCACCATACTTTCAAAGTGGGTTGTTCATGCTGAAGTTATGATCATGACAATTCCCTGTAATTGAAGCATATATTGGTTTTATGAGGTTTAATTTTACTTTTCTTATGGTAGTAATTTTTTTTAATAAGTGGTCTTATGAGTTGAATTTACTGACTGTAAAGTCTCCTGCAAAGAAACTTTGTGGAAGGTTATTAATACATATAATAAATGTTTACTTCATTAGTATTTGAGCCTTTTATGGTAGCACATGATTTATTGCTGCATTAGTGGTATTTTTTCAGGTTATACTGTATGATCTTAGGGGCATAAACAAAATCTAAAAATATATATTGTATCCCAGTGATTATGTTAATTTTGATTTATATCAATCATACCAATAAGAGACTCCTTCAATCCCTCCTGAGGTCCTACAGAATCTAGGGACTGATGTTTTCTCACACTAAAACCAAGAAGTGTTTTAACAATGACATCCATGGAAGCAGAATCTGTCTCTAAGGCCCTCTCCAGTCCACCCACCCCATTAGGAAATGCCTGCTTTTAAACACAAACAACCCTTAAGGTCAACAAATTTATCAGGTGAAAGGGGGAAGATTATTGTAGAGTTGAGAGCCCTCAACAAGAGAATACATTGTCCTATCCCAGATGTTAACAAGTAGAAAGGTGGTGTCTCAGATAAATGGCATACAAGCCATAAAGGGCTTGATATAGCAAAACCAGTAGTTTGAATTACACCTCGAAGTAAACTGGAACTCAGTGCAGTCTATGTGCACAGGTGTAATACATTGTATGTGGGATATACAACTTACCAAGTAGATAGCTATATTCTGCACTTCATGTAATTTCCAAGTGGGCGTGAAATATTGCTCCAAGCAGAGCGCAATGTAGTGACCCAGTCTGGAGGTGAAAAAGGCATGGATAATTATGGTGAGGTCTGAGTTTGAGAGGAAACTTCTTGTCAAGTATAGATGGGGAGAAAAATGCACCTGGCCTTTGCTGCTATTTGTACATTCAGACACAGTTTGGGAGAGGGATAGCTCAGTGGTTTGAGCATTGGCCTGCTTAAACCCAGTGTTGTGAGTTCAGTCCTTGAGGAGGCCACTTAGGGATCTGGGGCAAAATCAGTACTTGGTCCTGCTAGTGAAGACAGGGGGCTGGACTCAATGACCTTTCGGGGTCCCTTCCAGTGCTATGAGATATGGAGATATACCTATATATACACCTCTACCCCGATATAACGCTGTCCTCGGGAGCCAAAAAATCTTACTGCGTTATAGGCGAAACCGTGTTATATCGAACTTGCTTTGATCCACTGGAGTGCGCAGCCTCGCCCCCCCCGGAGCACTGCTTTACCGCGTTATATCCGAATTCATGTTATATCGGGTCGCGTTATATCGGGGTAGAGGTGTGTGTGTGTGTGTGTGTGTGTGTATATATATATATACACACACACACATATATATATAGTTGAGGCCTCAGTAGTATCTCTAGATTATGAATATTAGTAACAAGAGGTAGTTATACTGAATAAAAAGAGCGTGTATTAAATTACCTGTATTCTGATACTTTCCCGAGCCATCCTGGAAGTAGATCCACATGTTCAGAAGATGCCTCCAATGGAAGTTGAATAGTTAGTTGCTTAGCTGCTTGACTGGTGCACACAATACTGTTATCACCAAAATGGGGGAAATTGTACATAGGTAAAAAAGTAGGGCTGTCAATTAATCACAGTAGGGCTGTCAATTAATCACAGTTAACTCATGCGAGTAACTCAAAAAAATTAATCGCGATTAATCACAGTTTAAATTCCAGTGTTAGACAATAGAGTACCATTTGAAATTTATTAAATATATTGGATGTCTTTCTACATTTTCAAATATATGGATTTCAATTACAACACAGAATACAAAGTGTACAGTGCTCGCTTTATATTATTTTTATTACAAATATTTGCACTGTAAAAATGATAGAAGAAATAATATTTTTCAGTTCACCTCATACAAGTACTGGAGGGCAATCTCTATCATGAAAGTGTAACTTACAAATGTAGATTTTTTATTTTTATTTTTTTGGTTACATAACGGCACTTAAAAACAAAACAATGTAAGACTTTAGAGCCTACAAGTCCACTCAGTCCTACTTGTTCAGCCAATTGCTCAGACAAACAAGTTTGTTTACGGTTACGGGAGATAATGCTGCCCGCTTCTTATTTACAGTGTCACCTGACAGTGAGAACAGATGTTCACATGGCACTTTTGTAGCTGGCATTGAAAGGTATTTACGTGCCAGATATGCTAAACATTTGTATGCCCCTTCATGCTTTGGCCACCATTCCAGAGGACATCCTTCCGTGCTGATGATGCTCGTTAAAAAAATAATGTGTTAATTAAATTTGTGACTGTATACCTTGGGGGAGAATTGTATGTCTCCTGCTCTGTGTTTTACTGACATTCTGCCATATATTTCATGTTATAGCAGTCTTGGATGATGAACCAGCACATGTTCATTTTAAGAACATTTTTACTGCCGATTTGACAAAACGCAAAGAAGCTACCAATGTGAGATTTCTAAAGATAGCTACAGCACTTGGCCCAAGATTTAAGAATCTGAAGTGCCTTCCAAAATCTGAGAGGGATGGGATGTGGAGCATGCTTTCAGAAGTCTTAAAAGAGCAACACTCTGATACGGAAACTACAGAACCCAAACCACCAAAAAAGAAAATCAACCTTCTGCTGGTGGCATCTGACTCAGATGGTGAAAATGAACATGCATTGGTCTACACTGAGTTGGATCATAATCGAGCAGAAATCATCATCAGCATGGACGCATATCCTCTGGAATGGTGGTTGAAGCATGAAGGGACATATGACTCTTTAACATAAGAATGTCCATACTGAGTCAGACCAAAGGTCCATCTAGCCCGGTATCCTGTCTTTCGACAGTGGCCAATCCCAGGTGCCCCATAGGGAATGAACAGGACAGGTAATCATCAAATGATCTATCCCCTGTCGCCCATTCCCAGCTTCTGGCAAACAGAGGCTACGGACACCATCCCTGCCCAACCTGGCTAATAGCCATTGGTGGACCTATCCTCCATGAATTTATCTAGTTCTTTTTTGAACGCATCTGGCACGTAAATACCTTGCAACACCGGCTGCTAGAGTGGCATGTAAATGCCTGTGCTCAGTTTCAGGTGACACTGTAATCAAGAAGCAGGCAGCATTTTCTCCTGCAACTGTAAGCAAACTTGTTTGTCTGAGCAGTTGGCTGAACAAGAAGTAGGACTGAATGGACTTGCAGTCTCTAAAGTTTTACATTGTTTTATTTTTGAATGCAGTTATTTTTGTACGTAATTCTACATTTGTAAGTTCAACTTTCATGATAAAGAGATTGCCCTATAGTATTTGTATTAAGTGAATTGAAAAATACTATTTTATTTTTACAGTGCAAATATTTATAATAAAAACAAATATAAAGTGAGCACTGTACACTTTGTATTGTGTGTTGTAATTGAAATCAATATATTTGAAAATGTGAAAAACATCCAAAATATTTATATAAATGGTAATCTTTTATTGTTTAAGAGCGCGATTAATCACGATTAATTTTTTTAATCGCTTGACAGCCCTAGAAAAAAGTGCACAAAATATAGATGCATATTTTAGGCGAGCAAATTAGGAGATGAAGTTGGAGTGCCTTTGGAAAATTCGACCCATAAAATGACTCCAAACACTTAAAGTAAAAATGATGTGTTTTCAGAACGATTATAAATGTATGCTGTATTACACAGTAAACCACATTCAGTTTCAGTTTTTCGTTTGAAAGGAGTTTCATATATTTTAAATAAATCCAAATATAACGTTCAACAGAATAAAATAAATTTTTCAAAAGTTGTAAGTATAGCAGTCTGCAGTTTATTGCCTTATGCAAACTAGTCTATTCTTGTGTATATAAAAATATTTAATATGTCATCTGAGTGTGATGACATTTACCATGAAAAGCAATGCAGTATGGTAAATATTTAGAATAATCATATGAAAACAGCTTAGCCTAAAACCAAGTTAAGTGTCTCTTGCAGTATCTGAAAAATGTTAGTACATTTGAAAGATTGAAACTTCTTAGGCTTATTTTTTCCATTTTAAAAATAATTGGAACAAAAAGCAGGCCACAAGATCATACATGGTAAGAGAAGTAAAACGTATCATTGCTGGCACTGTTAGGTTTGTGTCCTCACGTCACCATTGAGCTGGGCATGGATCAGCAGGGAATTCACAAGTGTAAGCCAAATCCTGTAAATCCTAGTGTGTAGTTCTTATTTATGTGGTAGTCCCGTTGGCTGTAGAAGTACTGTTTGTGTGGATAACAATTTGCAACATTGGGCCTTTGAGCCCTGGTCCTACAAAGACACACATGCTTAAATGTACTTATATGAGCTATGCCATTGATTTCGGTGGGACTTTTCATGTGAGTGAAGTTAAACATTCGGGTGTTTGCAGGATTGAGGCTTTAGTGAGCATGGAGGAAATCTATCACTTTGCTCAAGGCAGGATTCCCTATTTTACTGAAAGTTTCTGTTGATCCTTTAATCTTATGTGACACTTTTTCCAGTAGTATGCTGGCATTTGTCTGTTTCTCTACAAATGGTGGAGAGACCTTTGGAAAGATGTAGTCTCTCATGGGTTTTCATCAAATTTTGATGAAAGATTAAAACTGTAGCGTAAAGTTATAAACTAAGTACAGAAAACCCTTTTTCAGGCAAGTGTGTAATATTTATAGCTGCAATATTTAAGATATTTCTTAAAACATGTTTCTTAGGAGTAGATGGTCTATACTAAATTTTGAAAAACAATACAAAAATGCATGTTTATTTTTCTGGAATTGAGTTTAGTAAGAAATAGAAAGTTTTCTAAGCAGTAAGATTCAAAGGCACTGTTTTTTTATGAGTGTCTCTTGCAAGGGAAAGAACCTTTTTCTAAGGTACATACCTATCTGAAAATAATAATAAAAAACCCTAAGTGAAAATATTTTCTTTGGAGTGAAATTTATACTATAGCAATTAATAACTGTTGACAAATTCTTAACAGATGCTGGTTCTGAGAAGACAAATTTATGTGGAAGTGCTCAGTAAAAAGAGATTGCATGTAACAGTGGAAATACATATGTGTTAAGCTGAGTGGAATTGCCAACTTTTTTTTAAAACTATTTATTTAAGAAGTTTAAACATGTTTACAATTCTGTGCCATGTAAATTCCAACTCTTCTCTAAAAACTAACTTGCATGTAAAGTTTCAAATTATCGACAGTCTTTTCCCATCACCACCCCCTCTCTTTTTTTTTTCTACTATATCAGGCTGACTTTGTGAAAATTGCCCATCCTGACTTTGCATTCAGAGAGGCTGCTGAAGAAACCTGCAGAAACATTGGTACAATGGTAGAAAAGTATGTTTTGTTCATTATGTTGCTGTAATGTTGGCTTTCATGTCTGAAAGATTCTGCGTTATCCAACAGTTAACTTTTTTCTTATTGTTGTCATGTATCTGGAGGTTTTTATGTGTGAAACAGAGAGCAACTTCTTTTAAAATGTTATTTAAAGATTCATCCTTACAGTGTCTGGTGTAAGGTCATTCTGTTTTAATTTCAGGTTGCATCTGGAACACTATTTCATTGCCTAATTCACTGTGAAGGTCTGTGCCACTGGACCTCATCAAAGCCTTGGAACTAAATTTTCTGAAGTTTCGGGCAGTTAATTTTTTGGCTCTGAAGTCTGTATAATTTAGGGATGGCAAATCTAAAGGCACACAACACCTCTTTGTCTGCCATACTGACCACTTGGATTCTGATTGTGTAAGAGGGAATGTGAAAAAAGGGAAGAAAATCTTCCATTGAGGTTCAGAATATAGACTCACAATTTGAAGCTGTATCCAGTCAGATATCAACATTGAAGTGCTGTGCTGTCTAATTTACTAACCTTGAGAAAGTCCATTCTGGCTGAAACATCACTTCTTAAAAAAAAAATCTCATTTGATAAAATATATGTTCTTAGATTAGTATTTGAATCAGATTTTGAGTATAGTGGGAATCAGTTTAAAGAGTTGCTTGCGTTATGATGAAGGCAGATGGGTATATATAATTTGATATCAGAGTGGTAAAAATTTTTTAAGCCCTGGCAACCTTGTCTACATTTTACAGAGAGCTTCCAAACTAGCCATATTACTCCCTACTTGCCAGAATAGTTATAAAAGATGAAGGAGAGTCATTTCCACCAGCAACTTGTACAGGCAGTATCTTGGTAAGAAGTCTAGTCAAGCTGAGTGAATAATGGATGTTTCGGATCACTGGCAGTTAAGGAAAATAATTTTGTTTCAGGTTGAACAAAAAACATTTTTTGAAAATTTCTGGCGAATCAAAAAGTTGAGAAAATTAAAGTCAAAATGAAACATTTCAGTTTGGCCTGAAAAATTTAGTTTAGATCTTCAGGCATTTTGACTAAAGCAAAGGAAAGGAGGACTAGATTCACAAAACAGCAGTGAGGGGAGGAGGAGGAAGAGATGGTGGTACCTCTCTCTCATGAACTTTAGCCTAGTGGGAGACCCAGGTTCAATTCCTCCCTCTGCCTGATGTGAAGAGAAGGACTTTGAACGTAGGTTTCCCCCATTGCAGCAGTGTGCCCTATCGCTATGAGCTGTTGAAGCTGTTCCACTTTTCATAAATAGTCATCAAAGCAGATGTTGTATTTGGACCTCCCACATTCCAGGTGAGTGTCCTAACCACTGGGCTAAAGCTTACATGACAGGTACCAGCTCCACCACCTCCTATAGCCATTTCCCCTCCTTTCCTTTTCTTTTGTCAAAAATGCCTGCCTGAAAATTGAAACAAAAACTTTGAGGTTGAAATGAAAAGTTTTTTATTTTGACATTACTAAAACGTTTAGATTATTTTGTTAGCTTAAAACCATTTGGCAGACTCACCACAAATTTGTGAATAGTTTTGGTTGACCCCAAATTGCATTTTTTGGTGAGTAAATTAGCTCTGGGTGGGGGGGGTTGGGTGAATTAAGTCCAGTCCCCTGCTGTTCCTGGATGCTAGGAAGGGGGTGGGTGTTGAGGTTTCTGTAGGAGTGGTATCCCTGGGATGTGTTCCTATTTGTGGGCTCCCTGTTTCAAGCCCAGCCTCCATTTTTTTGGGTTGGTCCTCCTATGTGAATGCTTTACCAAGTAGCAGTATGAAATTGACATGATTCTTAAGAGCTCCACTGTTGCTTACAGGGTTCCAAATAGCAGTAGAAAAACTGACCAGAGTCGTCATAAGTTTTCTCTGCTAGTGTCTAACAAAGCTATGGCCGGCAGAGGCAGTGGAGCTTTCTGTAGTCTAAGGAGGATAACACTGCATCAGTGTGTATACTTGATAGGCTTCACACCGTCAAGGCTAGAAAAATAATCATTGTAAGATTAAATTCAATAGAAACTGATGGCTTGAGCCTGTGCACTTGTTTGGGAAATCTTCCCACCTGCAAGTGGATTTTTCAGGACCTAAAGAGGGGGGTTGCTCAGTAAGGCTGACCTTGATGCGGACTGTCTGTTTTTAAATGTCAGTTTGGATTGAAGTAAACTTTTAGAGAAGAGGAAAGCACAAATTAACCTGAATCTCAGAAACTTCTTAACTAGTATGAAAGTTTGGAGGCAGCTATCGTATTTACGTTGTATGTTTCTTTCTATGGCAAATAGCATCCCTGGATAACTAGCTTCTGTTTAGTAACAGTAATAAGTCTTTGCATTTATATAGTTCCTTTCACACAAGGTGTCATGCTGTCTGAAGTGGCTCACAATTGTGAGTGCCAACTTCAGGGCAGACTGTCAAGAAACAGGGCATGAATCTCAAACTGGTCGTGTGTTTTATACTTAGATTTCATCAACCAAGTAACAAGTGTGAACTGCACAGGCACTATAACAGCCTTAATAGGGAGCCACAGACAGTCCCCTTGAGTACTCCGATCTATCTTGCCACCCAGGCAAACCTGCCTCTCTGACAGATGGTCCCTTATACCAAAAATCACAACAATATGCAGAATACTCCCAGTGCCAGAGGACCTGTGACTTACCCCATGTCAGTTGTACTCAGATCTCAAACCAAAGAGAACGCTTTTAACCAATTGTGTAACAAGCTAACTAAAGGTTTATTAACTAGGAAAAAGAAATAGAGTTATTTACAAGGTTAAAGCAGGTACACATACAAATGAGGTACAATCTTAAGTTCAAAAGGTAATAGAAGCTTCTATAATAAGTAAGCTTTTATGTCTTTTAGGGCTAGCCAGAGCCAAACAGCTTGGGGATCTCTTGCTTATGTTTAGGAATCTTTGCTCCTCAGAGTCCAGACAGCATAATTATACCAGTTGCTCTTTAGCAGGAATTTTTATTCCCTTTCTCCAGCATTCAAGCTGTGATGGGACATGGCATTGTGCACATACCCTTTTCAGGGGCGTGGGGGAAGCTATCAACAAAGTCTTTTGTCCACAATGGCTTGTCTGATGCCTAAAGGCAGTCTTTTCTTGGGGAGAAGATTACATCTCTTGTCATAAACTAGTATTTCCAACTTGGTAATGCTTCTCCCCTGACTGTGTGTGTGTGTGGGGGGAGGGTTTACAGTCTTAGCAAACATTTTTATAGTCACAGAGCACACGTTTAAACATTACCTTATAACATGGGTTACAGATATAAGCAGGATTAATACATGCAGCATCCTACAAACATTCCATAAAGTCTAAACACATTCTTATAATTCTAATAGCTATTTTAATAATGCTAACACACAGGTAAGCCAGTCTGGTTTCCAGCTATACATTTATCAGTGTTCAGTGAGGCCTTATGGTCTTGGCATGAGTTGGCGCCTGGTCTACCAGCATCACACAGGACCTCGACTTGGCTTCACCGACATTAAGTTATTAATCCTTGCAGCATTTCTAAGAGGTAGGTATGATAAGTATTAGGTCCATTTTATAGATGGAGAAACTGAGGCACAGACTGGTTTAATGAGTTGCACATAGTGACATAGGCCTTCTGACTCCCAGTCCTGTATTCTAAAATTTAGATCAGGGGTTCTCAAACTTCATTGCATTGGGACCCCCTTCTGACAACAAAAATTACTACACAACCCCAGGAGGGGGGACTGAAGCCTGAGCCTGAGCCCACTTGAGCTTCAGCCCCAGACAGGAGGCCTATAACCTGAGCCCCGCTGCCCAGGGCTAAAGCCCTGAGGCTTGGGCTTCAGCCCTGGGTGGTGTGGCTTGGGCTTTGGCCCTGGACCCTAGCAAGTCTAAGCCAGCCCTGGCAACCCCATTAAAATGGGGTTGCAACCCACTTTGGGGTCCCAATCCACAGTTTGAGAACTGCTGCATAGATTATGCTCTCTGTCTATTGAATGCTTAAAATAAGCCACTATCCTTAGACTTTGTCCTACTTGCCTCAGTATGTCATGCAAAACTATTTGCCTGTTGAAAATAAGTACCCACCTGCATAGTCATAAATGCTAGAATGTATAACTTGTATCCTTGTATTGTACAGTAGTTTCTGAGCACAATTACAACTTGAAAACATTTTGAAAACTTCGCCCTTGATTTCTAATAGTGTATATCAGAAAAGATTAAGCTCTGCCTTTGAACTAGTAATGCCAGTAACTATTTCTGATACTTGGTTGCTTTCATCTTTATCTCTTTAGGTTAAATACAAATATCGAGCTGTGCCAAAGTTTGAAACAGTTGCTGGCTAATAAAGAGGTTATGGATTCCCTAGATCCAGAAACCAGGTACTTGTTAATGTTTAACATTTTAGAAATTAATACGCTATAAATTATTCCCCAAAATGCTTGGAAATATTTCTGTGTCGTTAAATTGATGGACAGTTCAGCACCCTTTTGTAAAAGAACTGCAAAACACAATGGGCCAGAAAATCTGAGACTACATTTTTATGCAACTTTATTAACCACTGAGAATTTAACTGTGCAGTAGTCAGGAAGTTCAGTTATTATTATGAATAGGCTATGTTGGAGTACACATAATGTGTGTGTGTGTATATGTAGCTAAAAGCTATGTTAAGGTTGCCCAGTTTAAATCTTTAGAAAATGAGGAAATGCAAAAGTTAAGTTTCCCATAACAAAATCAACGCAACCAAACTGCATTATTCTGCTATGATATACATCTAACAATATAAACAGTAATAAAGTATAAATTTAAGAAGGAAAATAGGGAGTGGAATGTATTTAGAGTTGTACAAATTAAAATGAGTGCATGTCCATTCATCTAGAAGCCTCTGACATAACTTAATTTTTTAAATGTAAATTGTATCTGGAGCACACTGGAAAAATATGCCTATGTGTGGTTAGCTTTCTGTTTGTTTTTTTATTATTGGGGTTTCAATAAAATCAAGCATTTTTATTAATGACAGTTGTGCATGGTAACATGCTTTCAGTCTGTAGGGTCAAATTAACATGTCAGCATTTTTTACATTCACTTTATTGTTGTTATAAAGCACCATTTTTACTGCTGCTTATTCATTTCTGCCTGACAGATTATTCTTCTCTCACGCAGTAAGGATAACTATCCTACTTTTCCTCCCCCAAACAATCAAATGTTCTAGGCTTAAGGGCTTTTTCTCTCATCAGTCAAAATAAATGAAATAAGTTGAATTAAATTGATGTTTTATAGTTTACACAAATTAATGTAATACGCTTGTTAAAAGACATTTTTCAGTGCAAATCACCAAAATGTCTACAAGGAAAAACATCCAGTTTCACTGAATAAACAAAGGAATAAACCTACTGAAAGTGTATGTGCACAGAAAAAAATAGTTATAAAAGATTATATAATAAGTAATTATTTTCTATCTTAAATCAAAATATAGTCAGTAAAATGCAGCACACTAAAATCCGACTGCTGTGAAATGAGGTAGTCTTTAACAGGGTTTTACTGTATTTTTAGGCAAGTGGCGGAACTTTTTATGTTCGATTTCGAGATCAGTGGTATTCATTTGGATGAAGAAAAGGTAATTTTTTTTGTCTGTGATATGTGAATAGATGTTTGCCTGACTTTTAAAAGCAGATAGCAAAATGCAGGGCATATGTAATGGAATTCTGTGCTGAGTTGTGCCCCTGAAGGCTCTGGAAGTCAGTGGAGCTCAGCCTTCTCAAAAACCTATTTGTCATTAACTATCAGGTGGCTGGATTTGTAGTGTCCTATACAACTTCCCAGAGTCTAGTTCAGCCTTCACTCTCCAGACTGCCTTGTAACTCAGTCCTGTACTCCAGGCAGTTACAAGCGGGGCCTCTGGACTCCATTTGGGTTCGTATCTGCACAGTACAATTTTTGTGAAATGGCTAGTTGTTTCAACAATGTAGCTACACAGGGTGGGAGAAACATGCATCCCGTTATCTGGATAACCGGCTACTCAAATACAGCACTTCAGAAGGAATCAAACCACATGTCTGTGCCACAACCTAAGCTTTTTAGTGACTCTAGAGCCTCTAAGTTGTGTGTCAATGTGTCTCTCTCCCCTGCAAGAGTCCAAGATGGATTTGCCAGAGCTAGCAGATCTGAGCTAGTAATATGTTGGAGATGTTGGGCTGGGTGTCCATAAATGTTCCTGGTACTCATGACATATCTCTGCATGAGGAAATCTCCTATAATTTTTGAGTTTCTAGCAGTCAAGGTTCACACAAAGACTCTTTTTTACTAAATTCAGGTGGCCGACTTGCAGCGAAAACACCGAAATGCATTGTTTTGGTAGCAGCTTGCAAACTGGAATGCCCTTCCAGAATAATTTTCTTACAGTTACTGTGTACTGAGATTAACACCTCTTAAATCTGCAGTGAGGTGGAAAAGTACAACAGGAAGGCATGCAAACATTTAAAATATGGCTACTGTGATACAGAAATATTAACTGACATGCAGAAAAACAAAATTGGCATTTAAAAAAATTTAATCCCCACTTGTGATAGGCTCTTAGCTATTTTTTATGTGATTGTCTGACCATAGTTACTGTTCCTTGCAAGTCCTGCGATTTTGAGTTCATATTAAGGTGCACTTGGTTAGAGGTATGTTGCCATCCATAGTGAATTTCTGATCTCTTCCTAAGATTTGCTGGAATGCCACATGCTGCTTTCTCTGCATGTCTACAGAGCATTATTGCTTGGATTCAGCTTCCTGGCACAAATTTAGGTTTGAATCTCTTTGTGTTAAAGAGTTTAAGATTGAGAATACCTCAGCTCTCCTGTCCTCCTAGGTATCATGAATGTTTTCTTCAGAATGTCTCTAGAGGTTGGTTTCTCTTTGGATTTTTTCATATATAGTATATTTATCTGTTCAGAAGGAACTATAAACGTTTATTGCTGTTGTGGCAGTGGCATTTTTTCATCCCTTTTGAAACATGTATGTTGAATGTTGTCTTTTGTAATATCTTATTGCGTCTTGTATAGTTGAGCTTTTCATAGACATCCCTGGGTTTTTTTTATTCTCCAGGAGTGGGGATCTTTTATAATCCATTTATTTTGGAGTTAACAAAAGTGCCTTCTGAGAACGCCAGTTACAGGATGTAACTTATAATAGATCCCTACAGAGTTGGGATAAATTTGCTTTTCTACTTGACAAAGAAACGGACTGTTGGAGGAAGTCTATTACATCTGCATGCCTTCTGAGAACAAGAATTACAGATAATAATCTTTTTATCACCTCTTGACTCGTTCATTACTTTAAACTATGGATAGTATTTCCAAAAGTCCCCTGTTGTTCACATCAGGATTTAGAATAAATTAGGCCAGACCATGTTATATATTTAATTTTCTTATGGTCTGGGCAGATAAGAGGTTGTAGTGACTATTGTGATCCCTTTTGTATTAGGCTGTATTATAAATTTCAGGCTATGGGTTTTCAAATATTTTCCCAGTGTGGTCTGTATCTTGATAGAGAGACCATCTTGTGGACATCTTCCCTCTTATTCACATCATGTAGCATCCCTTTGGCAGCTACAGAACTTACCTAATGGAAAAGTAATACTAGGGGGAAATATTTAATGTAGCCTAGGTATCTATAATGTGATGTAACAGCAGAAAACAAGGGGATAAAGTCAGTAACGTTGAGTTCTCTGGATCCTTCAGTGAACTCAGAGGTATCTGCCTGGGCCACCTGGCCCAGCAACTTGCCCTTCATCCTCCACATGGGGAACAGTGTTAGCAACTACGAGCAGCTTGCATGGGGCAAGCTCTGAAAATGCCAGGACTATCAGGGCTCCTTCCCTAAAGCAGTCAGAACCAGCTACAGGCAGGAATGCAAGGGGAATTCAGGGCCTTCCAGCCTCTCTGCTCCTGGACCTAGAAAGACACCCAGGACAATGGGCTTATCAGTCTTTTCCTCCATTCACATGGATACAGCAGCAACCGGAATGATCTTTCAGAACCTCCTGCCATCATCATTCACTCAGCTCTGAAACTTGGACTCTGACTTTTATTTCTCACTTGTTGTGTTGCCACTGGTTGTTAGTCACACTTCATTTTGCCCCTTTGTATCACTACAACTCTTCAACGGTCCAGTCTCTCTCACATTTCTGCACATTGTGCTTATTTCTCCTTTTCATTCCTCCTGCTAACTGTCCTTTCCCCCTTCTACTTATTTCCCCCCTCAGTTTTCTTCCCTCTGTCAGACTCCCAACAATCCTTTCCTCTCCCCACATCAACTTATTTGCCCCCTCAAGAAACCCTAAGCGTTCGGAACATAAATAAAACAAATATGCTTTTGAAGAAGAGGATATGGGAGTTCCAAGACATGTTTCTGTGGTCAGCCTGGTCACTTTACCACTATGCTATATTCCTTCCCCCAGGCTTTGTCTGTTTTGTCTATTTAGACACAGATCCTACAGACACATTCATAAAGTTAAGCATGTGTCTAAGTGAGCAGTCCCATTGACATCAATGGGACTATTCTCAGTAGTAAAGTTAAGTGCATTAATAAGTGTTTGCAGGATCGAGGCCTTAGATTGTAACAGGGCAGGGGCTGTCTTCCTATATGTTTGTACAGCACCTAGCACGTTGTGGTCTTTGGGCAGTGCCACAATCTACATAATAATAGGAGAATCATTGATTGTGGTGATTAGTTAGCTTCACACAAGCTACCAGTGGGACCTGCTTCTCTAGCTGATGTCTCCTTGATTTCCTCCATTACTGAAAATCTCTCTTTCCCTTCACTTATTTACAAAATAATTGGAATATACCAGCATTTTAGAAGTATTTACCAATTGTTTAGCAAAAGTAGTGTAAAACATTCCCAAGTTCTGTTTTTTATGAACTTGTTTTGATTTTTCATGCATTGTTACCATGGCAGAAATGTGAGAGAGAATTTTTTTTCTTCTGAAAGACAAGCATGTAGAATGCGTATATGTACGCCGCCTGATTTCGTTCTCACTGAAGACAGTGGTATGGCTCCCATTGACTTCAGTTGCACAGGATCAGCCCTAAATTAGGATTTCTTTAACGTCATAGGCCTGATCCTAAGTAAGTAATATTTGTTGGGAATAGATCATGATTTCATTTAGTTGTGCAAACATATCTTAATACTGTGGAAAACTGAGAGCTACTTGTACTGTATTTTAAGTGAATGTGTATCTTTTGCTTTATTTTTCCTAATTACAGCGTAAAAGAGCAGTGGACCTCAACGTCAAAATATTGGATTTATGTAATCAATTTCTTATTGGAGCTCACCTGCCCAACAAGATTGACAAGCAGATTTTACCAGAACACATTCGCTATAACTTTGCAGTTGAAGGCAATTACATACAAATCACCGGTCTGCATGCAGACTGTTCTGATGATCTGGTATGTATTGTCTAAGTTCTCTATAGCACATCCTATAATACAAAGGTGCATCTCAGTGATTTTGACACTAGATGACACAAGCATGCCAACAGCTACAAATAGAAAATAGGAACTGAGGGTTAAGATTTTTAGTGCTCTCTGTGGATGCTTTTCTCAAAAGAATTAAGTTAGAGCAAAAGCATTAATAATACCTTTTCAGACTGTTTCACGTACAGCTGTTAATATTCTTCAGGGTAAACTAAGGAGAATAGCTGAACCCACGTTACCAAGACTATTTTTAAACACTCAAAATCTTACACCCATTCTTTACTGAATTTCCCTGATAGCATCTTTATAAGATGGCCATTCAGGTTGCTTATAAATTGGAAGGCAATTTCCAAATTTAAATTTCCACTTTAAAACCTGCCTGGAATGGCTTCCATTTTTCTGGGTGTGGGTCCAAACCTGAGTTTCAGGAAAGAAACTGTCACAACACTTTAGAATCTTCAGTTTTTGTAGTTAAGTAATTGCTCAAAAGGCAGAAAATGGTTTTTAAACATGTTAATTTTATCCTTTTTGGATACAAATAAGTTCTATTCTTCAAGTTCTTTTTGTATTTTTCTAGTACAGGTGTAGAATTCAGTATGTAACTTGTCAGTTTAATGAGAAAAATTCACACCCAAGTATTTTAATAATGATGATTTCATTTAGTTGTTATTCAGCAATGTTGCCATCCAAATTGAAGTTTAGGGTTATTTTTTGCTTTTTCTCATACTAATTTTGCATCAGACACTTAAAAATGCGGAGGATAATATGGTAGGGTGGAACAGGGCTTGTTTAAATAGTGTCCTCCTCCATAAATAAAATCTACATGTGGTGAAATATTGTTTTGTGTTCCACCAGTTGGTACATACACCTGATGTTATTGGATGAGCTTGTCAAGGGTTGTAAGAAGAACACAACTATTAAGAGGGAAAGCAGGCAGGCTGTCCTTATCCCTTTTTCTAATGGGTAACAGGAGAATATCATTGTTGTTCTTTTTTGATAGACTTTATATAAAGGGTTGCTTAATCTGAAAGCATTGTGGCTGTGATACCTGGCCTTTCATTGGTTTGAGAGGAATTGAACTGTTTCTTTTGTGAATTATGCTATTATGAGACCATTTCTTTTCTTCTGATGTTAGGTACGAGAAGCTGCTTATAAGATTTTTCTTTACCCAAATGCTGAGCAACTGCGCTGCTTAGAGGAACTGCTTACCAGCAGAAACCATCTGGCACAGTTAGTTGGCTATAACACCTTTGCTCACAGGGCTCTTCAGGGAACAATGGCCAGAACTCCAGGTAAAGTACATGTATGTTCAGAAATGATAAGATGTGACTTGTGTCAGGCATGAGGATAAATGTAGGTAGTTTAACTTGTCAGCTGTTAATACAACACAGTTGTTGCACTAGAGAGTCTTATTGCAGTTATATGTTGTGATCTGAAATATTTATATTTTTCAATAAGAGAGAATATTAATTTGAACAGTCACTGTAATCTACACAATTCACTACTCCATGTTCATGGCTTAGGTAACTAAAAGCCATGATTATCACATCTGATTTTTTTATATGCTGCCTTGATACACGTGTACAGTTTCTGATCTATGTGTCATCATTTCACTAGATAAGTTAAAACCAGGCTTGCTCTAGGGAGGAAACATTGTTTGCTTCTTGATGTGAACTAATATATTTAAATGACATCATCATTTTGTTTAGTAATTTCCCTTCATTTCATATTTCCAGAGAAGGTAATGCAATTTCTTGAAACACTTTCTGACCGATTGTTTCAACGGTGAGTCTATTTTTCATTTACTTATTTAAAAAATCCCATTTTAATTTCAAGAGCATAGGTCTTTTGATGCAAGACAAGACTCCAGTTACCAATAATTTGAGCATTTAAAAAATTCCTCTAAGGTTATTACTGAAATATTAATTTCCCTCAGATCTTGATTAAAATATTAACTTTCTTATGTTGAATTAAACAGGATGATGTAAAGATTAACAAATGTCTATATTGTCATACTTCCACGTGTGGCGGGAAATAGAAGTAGGAAATAAGTCATTCTCCAGATTTTTTTGAGTGTAGTCCACAGTTCTGGTGTGACTCCTACTGTAAAAGGAGATTACAGAGTGCATAAGCGTGAAAACAAAAATTCTAGGGAGCCTAGGGAGCCTCACAGGGACCCCCAATCAAGCACTAAAGCAGTGGGCTTCCCCTCCATATGCCCTACATCCATTATCACCCCTGATTTTCCTCACACAAAGCTGCTCATCCTACTCCATCCCCTATGGTTCCTCCAGTGCAAAAAGCATCATCATCATGCGGAGTGGAATGGTGGCTGAGCATGAATATGGAGGTTGGGGTGGAGATGGGACAGCAGGATTGTTTGGGAGAGAATGAGAGGGAAAGGTAGGACCTGAGAGTACTTGGAGTGGGCGGAGCAGAGTGGAGAGTAGCTCCACTGTGATGAGCTGCCTGTGGTTCTTCAGATCACAGCCCAACTCTGATGCATCATAGGCACTTGGTAATAGTAGAGTATTCATTTATACTGTACATTACTAGGGTGACCAGGTGTCCCGATTTCATAGGGACAGTCCCGATTTTTGGGTCTTTTTCTTATATAGGCTTCTATTACCCCACCCCCGTCCCGATTTTTCACATTTGCTGTCTGGTCACCCTATATATTACAGACAATAAAATGTCAATTGCCATTATACTGTACTATACTGGCTAAAATACCCTTTAATTAAAACTTTAAGGGCGAAATTCTTTTTTTACAGAACTCTAAAAGATTTTGAAATGATGGAAGGAATGAAGATGAAACTTAATCCCCAAAATTCAGTGAGTTATATTGTGCATTTATTTTCTTTTTTTGATTTTATATAATATGAACTAGCCTGACATCAGATGGGGAAAATAATTTCAGCCTTTACAATTGTAATATGAGTTGCATGTTGATAGATACTTGCTCTTTTGGGTTCAGATCGTTTTGGTTCTAAATAGCTGTTTCTAGTATTAAAACCAACCGTCAGCTATTGGTTTTAACAGAATGATTCATGTGATAACCAAAAACTAAGGTGGAAAATGTAACGGTTGGTTTTGAGCATGTTAAACATGTTTTCAAATTTTAAAATATGGCCCTTTATTTTTTCAGAACTGTGCATTCCCAATTTTCCTGGTATCGTGCCTGATCCTTCCACACTCAAACCCTGATTTTGCATGTGAATAGGTTTTCTTTACATGTCCGCTTTTGAAAATCTGGCTAATGATCCCTAGTTTAAGGTTTATGAATTTGGAGTCAGATGCTTTTTAGAGTGCTGTGACTATAGAAGTGATAAACATACTGAGTTATGTAAAGAAAGTGAGATCTTTGTCTTTGATTCACTTGGTTTTCATTGCGGTAATTGCAAGTTGAAATCTTATGTTTCAGAAATTGATGCCTTGGGATCATCCCTATTACAGTGGTGTCCTGCGTGCTGAGAGGTAAGTTACTTAGGTATGTGCTAGCAGTGTAAATGTGAGAGAGTGTTCATTCCAAGCCCTTGCAACAGGGGTAATGGAATCCATAAATATACACAGGATTTCTTTGTATTAAGGCTGTGCTTTCATATGATAAAAATCACGAGTATCAGTAGGGGCAGTTGTTCATAGCTATTCTTCACTACAGCCGCAATGCCCATCAATGTTTCTGTCTATTCCCTTTCCTTTTTTGTTTGTAAAGCCAAATGTCAAACCTCTTTGGGGATATGAGATAATGAAATAACCAGTTTCAGAACAGATAAAGATTTCTTACTCAACTTAATATTGTTTATTACGTTTATTGTGTAATATTTCTTAGCTTAATGCAATAGTGTAAAATAATCATAATGGCCATTGAATGCAAAGTCTGCATTCACCTTTCCTTTGCATGGGGGAAACAGGTATAGTTGAAGTGATTTGCTCCAAGCCTCAGGAAAAGGGGTCAGAAATCTGGGCTTCTGATTATCAACTCTCTTCTCATTCTTCTATACCAGCTGCCTCTCAGTGTGAAAGCAATATTTCACAATGCTCTAGTATTCACCTACCGGAAAGCTGAAATTATAATTGCACTATAGAGGCGATCAGAAATCTGTATATGCATATATTTCCAAGTGTCTAAATTCCCCATTTCAGATCTAAGCCAATCCCAAACACAGGCTTTGTGGAAACACATTAGGGCTTCCAATGGATAAGGGTTAATGATCTGTATTAACATAAGAACAACCATACTGGGTCAGACCAATGGTCCATCTAGCCCAGTATCCTGTTTTCTGACAGTGGCCAATGCCAGGTGCTTCAGAGGGACTGAACACAACAGGCAGTCATTGAGTGATCCATCCACTCATGTCCACTCCCAGCTTTGGGCAGTCAGAGGCTAGGGACACCCAGAGTATGGGGTTGCATCGATGGACTTATCCTCCACGAACTTAGCTAATTCTTTTTTAAACCCCTGTTATAGTTTTGGCCTTTAAAACATCCCCTGGCAACGAGTTCCACAGGTTGAGAGTGCATTGTGTGAAAAAGTACTTCCTTATGTTAGTTTTAAACCCGCTGCCTACTAATTTCATTGGATGACCCCTTATTCTTGTGTTATGTGAAGAAGTAAATAACACTTGTTTATTCACTTTCTCCACACCATTCATGATTTTATAAACCTCTATCATACCCCCCCTCCCCCCCAAGTTGTCTCTTTTTTCCAAGATGAAAAGTCCCAGTCTTTTTAATCTCTCCTCATATGGAAGCTGTTCCATACCCTTAATCATTTTTGTTGCCCTTCTCTATGCCTTTTACAATTCTAAGATATCTTTTTTGAGGTAGGGTGATCAGAACTCTACACAGTATTCAAGATATGGGTGTACCATGGCTTTATATAGCGTTATTAAGATATTTTCTGTCTTACCTATCCATTTCCTAATGGTTCCTAACATTCTCTTAGTTTTTTGGACTGCTGCTGCACATTGAGTGGATGTTTTCAGAGAACTACCCACAATGACTCCAAGATATTTCATGAGTGGTAACAGCTAATTTAGACGCCATTATTTTGTATGTATAGTTGGGATTATGTTTTCCAGTGTACATTACTTTGCATTTATCAACCGTGAATTTCATCTGCCATTTTGTTGCCAAGTCACTCTCTTTTGAGAGAGCTTTTTGTAACTCTTCGCAGTCTGCTTTGAACTTAACTACCTTGAGTAGTTTTGTATCTTCTGCCAGTTTTGTCACCTCACTGTTTATCCCTTTTTCTAGCTCGTTTATGAATGTGAGGGATGGTTTCCCTAGCCTCTGTTTGCCAAGAGCTGGGAATGGGTGATGTGACGGGTTGTCCCCTCCCGGGATGCAGTCTGGGAGCTATGGGCTCTGAACCCGGACCTGGGCAGGCTTCTCTCATGCTGCTTTGTTGGAGATTTACAGCCAGCCTCACCAGGCCCTGTTATCACCCAGTACAACAGCAGGTGGCACCACACACCCAACTGAGTTACCTGTATGCTTTACCTAAGCCACTCAAGGGCAGACAGCCAATTTCCCAGCTCCCCTCGCCTTGCACCCCTACTGGAGTATAAATCCAGAATTATAACTTCTGACACTGGACAGGGACCTGTGCAAAGTAAGCTCATTAATATAGTTTGCTCTCCCTCGATGTGGGAAAGATACGCAGAAGCTTGTGTTAACCAAGCTGAGATTTTCCCCAGACACTTCATTTAAAGGCACACTAGTTTAGATAAAATATAAAAGAAGTTTATTAACTATAAAAAGATAGATTTTAAGTGATTACAAGTGATAGCAAACAGATCAAAGCAGATTACCTAGCAAATGAACAAAAATACAAACTAAGTCTAACATACTAGAAGGATAGGATTTGAATTAGCAGTTTCTCACCCTGACTGATGATACAAGCAGTCAACCAAGTTTCCATACACAGGCAAGAAATCCCTTTAGCCTGGGCCCAGGATTTCCCACAGTTCAGTCTTTGTTCCTCAGGTGTTTCCAGGAGTTTTCTTGAATGGGAAGCGAGGCCCAGAGATGATGTCAGTCCCCACCAGATATAGCTTTTCCATGTGGCGGGTATCCTTTGTTTGAAGCTCAGTTTCTGGTCCAACTTGTGGAAAAATACAGGTACCAAAATGGAGTTCAGTGTCATTTGGTCTGGTCACATGCCCTTGCATTTCTTGCTGAGTCATAGCAGCCATTATCCATAGGCTGTCTGGAGCATTTCCGAGAAGGCTCACCAGGTGGGGGATAAGCTTCTCCTAAGGCCTGTTGTTTCCCCTAATGGCCCATTACCTTGAATAGGCCCTTCACAACCAGCTGTCTAGACTGGAAGCATTTTGCCTAGTTGGTGTCACCCAGGTGTAACTACATCTGAAATACAGATACATAATCAATATTCATAACTTCAAATACAAAAATGATACATGCATACGAATAGGATAATTATATTCAGCACATCATAACTTTTCCATAGACATCTCACAAGACATATCTTGTACAAAATGCATCATAATTATGTCATCATCATGTTATCATACAACTATGAAGAATATGGAATGCAGTGTCACAGGCGACAGAGGATGGATAATTTGATGATTATCTGTTCTTTTCATTCCCTCTGAAACATCTGGCATTGGCCACTGTCGGAAGACAGGATACGGGGCTACATGGACCTTTGGTCTGACCCAGTATGGCCGTTCTTATGTTGAGCAACACTGGTCCTAGTACAGATCCCTGGGGGACACCACTATTTACCCCTCTGTCCATTTTTGAAAATTGGCCATTTATTCCTACTCTGTTTCCTATCTGTTACCCATGAGAGGATCTTATCTCATGACTGCTTACTTTGCTTATGAGCCTTTGTTGAGGGATCTTGTCAAATACTTTCTGAAAGTCCCGGTACACTGTATCCACTAGCTCACCCTTGTCCACGTTTGTTGACCCCCTCCAAGAATTCTAATAGATTTGTGAAGCATGGTTTCCCTTTACAAAAGCCATGTTGACTCTTCCCCAGCAAATCGTGTTCATCTATGTGTCTGACAATTCTGTTCTTCACTATAGTTCCAATGAATTTGCCTGGTACTAAAGTTAGGCTTACTTGCTTGTAACTGCCAGGATCACCTCTGGAACCCTTTTAAAAAATTGGTGTCACATTAGCTATCCTCCAGTCATCTGGTACAGAATCTGATTTAAATGATAGGTTAAATGTTCTTCTGAGCAAAGTATTTTTTGAAAATCATGTTTACCAATCTGAGATTTTCCAATGAGACTGAACAGATAAAAAATATGGTGATGTTGGTTACAAATAGTTTATCCTGCCCATTTTTGTACTGTGAGGAAAAACATTGTTCCTGGTGAAGCATTGTAAAATAACTGGTGAGGTTATTGCATTTAGAAGACAGCCTGGTTGTCATGGTGAAAGGAGTTCTGAAAATGGAACAGATCATGACATTGGGGGTGTACATCTGTTTGTTTTGTTTTGTTTTTAGTTTACTAAGTCCCTTATCTTGCATCTGGCCTGTGAGAGTGAACCCCTGCACCCCTCTGGAACCCCATTGATTTCAGTGCAGGATTGAGGCCTATGCATGCTTTACCCCCACCATGTGGGACCAGGAATATTTTCACCAAAATGTTTCTAAAGTACATGCAGGAGAGTGAAGGAGAGGTATTTCTGGATTAGAGCACTATCGCTGTTTTGCTCAATTGGTTGAATTTTACACAAAAGTAGGTGGCATTTTCCCACCTCATACAGTTTTCTAGTAAAAATACTGCACTAAGGGCCTGATCAGTTTATAAGTACCTACACGGGGAACAAAAATGGTTTCTTCAATCTAGCATATGGTATAACAGGATCCAGTGGTGGGAAGCTGAAGGTAGACAAATTCAGACTGGAAATAAGGCTCAGTTGTTTACAGTGAATGTAATTAACCACTGGAACAATTTACCAAGGATTGTGATGGATTCTCCATCACTGACAATTTTTAAATGAAGATTGGATGTGTTACTCAAATATATGCTGTAGTTCAAATAGGTATTAATTCAGGGAAGTCCTAAGACATGTGTTATACAGAAGGTCATCAGATTAGATGATCACAATCCTTCTGGTCTTACCTGTGAATCTATGAATCCTCCACTGCCCTGCTCCTTCTGTAGTAACTTTCACTTATGCAAGGTTGGTTTAAAATACTGTCAGATCACTGTATAAAGGGTAATGACTAGACAAAGTACCTGGCAATGGGGAATCAGGCCCAAAGAGTGAAATTCACTCCCTCATCGCAGAATATTAGTGATTAGACTTTTGCATGGAACTAAGTGTGACGTTGCACTCCAAAATGCCTTATAGAAATATGCTTATGAGTGTAAATATGACATAACTGGAATATGTTTTATGCTAGATATGCCATGTAACATCTTTGTGCAAAGATTATGTTCTTCTGCATGTATTCATCCTATTTGTATGAATGTATCATTCTTGT